TCAGCAGGACATAGATAGGATTGGAGTATGAGATGACCAATCTTGGAGAGATAGATTCCAGTGTTTTTCTTTGGGTCCAGCTTAGCTATGGTTTTGACTTCTATATTTTCTTTTAGCCAAGACAGTCAACTCCAGCATCCTGCAGTATGACCTGGAGTCCCTGACACGAAAGACCTCTTACTCTGTAAAGGTCATGGCCAGTACCAGTGCTGGAGGAAAAAATGGGACCAGCATAAGCTTTAAGACATTGTCAATCAGTGAGTATTTCCTTCAAGGGCATGGGTACCTCTCCTTGGCATTTACCTTAGATTATTCAGAAACAAGGTTTGCCAAAGGCAGGGGAAAGCCATTCTCTCAGTATTTGGGACGTGAAAGAAATGAGAAGGGCCACTCTGCTCTTGGCAAACAAGCATAGAGAGAGGAGACAGGAAGGAGAGCAGGCAAACTGAAAGCTGAACTTGGAAAGACTGGGCACTTTCCTTCTTCCTAGAGGGCAGCCCTAAATCATCTTGAGGAGGGGGCATCAAGATTATGCCAATTTTGGTTTCAGCACCAAACGAGCTCCTACTTAAGGGTTCCCCAAGTTCAGAGTCACTGGTTTCTGTAAATCAGAATTTACAGCACAAAAGGGCTTTGGAGGGAAAGCCTTGGTTGATTAAGGAGCATGTACTGGAAATTCTTTTTTCTAATTTATTTTATTTTTATTTTTATTTTTCTTAAATATTTGATCACTATACATCATTTGGCTTATAAAGAAAATTTACCCAACTCAAAATACATCTCAGACCATTCCAGTTGAGAATACTATACATGTTATCATCAATAGGTAATAAACCATTTCTGTGTCCCACAAATGTCTTGCCTCTCCGTTTTTCTCCCTATTCCTTCCCTATACTTTTCCCTTCTCCCACCCTCCATCCACACTGTCTCTAGCATCTATAACTATTTTCACTACTTTTATGCCCTCCAATCTTTCAGTCTCTACCATAAAGTACAAATAGTCAATATATATGAAGTGAAGACATATAATTCCTTTCTTTCATAGCCTGGCTAGTTTCACTCAACAGTAAATCTTCCATATTTGACCACTTTCTATCAAATGCCAGGATTATTTTCAAGCCACATGGTCGGGGACCTGGATTGCAGTCTGTCATGTGGGAGTCCAGTGATGTGACCCCTATGTCATCTGCTGGTCCCATGCGGAAATTCTTTTTTTTTTTTGGAGAGGTTTTCACAATAGGGCACGTGCGCTCACCAGACAGATAGAGACAGAAAGCGAGAAATCGCCCCCCAGAGGTGATGGTCATGCCACAATCCCTTCTCCATTCTCCTCTCGGGATCTTGGGCACGCACGTACACGCGCCCGGTATGAGTTTTAAGCCATCGGGTCTGGGACACGAACTGTGGTTGACTACGTGGGAATCCAGCGACATAGCCATTATGCTAACTGCTGGTTCCCTCATGCAGAAATTCTTAACCTCATTATTTGCAGACATTTTTTGAGCAAAATGGTATATAATGTATATGACTTACCAGCTTTCATGTTAAAAAATAGGGAGCAAGAGAAATTTAATAGATAACAATAAATAATCTTAAGTATATTGTAGCTTCTTAGGATGGCTTTTTATTTTCTTTTTGAGAGGTTTTTGCTATAGAGCGCGTGCACTTGCCAGAAAGTCAGAGAGAGACAGAGAGACAGAAAGTGAGAAATCACCCCCCAGGGAGCTGGCCACACCACAGTCCCTTCTCTTCCATTTTCCTCTTGGGATCTTGGGCACACACGCACACATGCCTAGCATGATTTTAAGCCACTCGGTCCGGGACTCGAACCGCAGTTGACTACATGGGAGTCCAGTGACATAGCCCTTATGCCAACTGCTGGTCCCCCTATGATGGCTTTTTATGGGAGATATTCAAGAGGGAAGGAAGATGGAATGAGGAGGGACATGAAGAAGGAAGAAGGACAATAGGAGAAAGAAATATATTAATCTTATCAAGTCCTGGAGTGGCAGAGATTTGATTTTTCAGGACATACTGAAACTGTTTTAAGGAATGAACTAACTTTTAGATTAAAAAATGAAGGAACAGGGAACCAGCAGTTAGCATAATGGCTATGTCGCTGGACTCCCACGTAGTCGATCGTGGTTCACGTCCTGGACCCGGTGGCTTAAAACTCACGCCGGGCGCGTGTGCGTGCATGCCCAAGATCCCGAGAGGACAATGGAGGAGAAGGGATTGCGGCGTGACCATCCCCCCTGGGGGGTGATTTCTCGCTTTCTGTCTCTATGTTTCTCTCTGTCTGTCTGGCGAGCGCACGCACCCTACAGTGAAAATCTCTCAAAAAAAAAAAAAAATGAAGGAACACTGCCAAATTTTGCAAAAACTGGTGCAGCTATAAATTGTCTCCTTGAAGTAGATTCTTGAAAAGTTCTTATTCATCACATTTTTAAAGAATAAAATAGCTTATGGCTCTAGAAGAGATGAGTATAGCATGTTTTCACGTAGGAAACATTCTGTGTCTATGGTCTGACTTTGCCTTCTTGGAATTCTGATTGATCTTGCTGTTTCACATCTTCTAAAATTAGGTTGTATTTTCACAGTTCTGGACATAAATTTCATCAGCTTGTGGAATGAATTTTCTCCAGTGGTCAAATTAAAGGCAGGCTTCTGCCTTGGCATCTAGAAGTTTTCTACCCTGGGGACCAGCAGATGGCATGGTGGTTGGGGCACTGTTCGCTCCGACGTGGCCAACCATGGTTCGAGTACTGGACCTAGTGACTTGCTTTCTCACTGTCTTTCTCTCTCTCTGTGCTTCTCTCTGGTCAAGTTAAAATAAATGAATGAATAAATAACATTAAATAAATAATTACTTGAAAAAAAAAAAAGAAGTTTCCTATCCTGATCTGTAGTTTATAGATCACTTGCTTCCATCAGCAACCCATTCTTAAAACCCACCAGTGACTTCCATATTATTTTAAATAAAACCAAACTCCTTTGCACAGCTTTTAGGGCCTTTCTTTATCTGTCCTTTTCTGACCTTACTGCTTACCACCTCTGTCTCTATGTTCCTTAATTTCTCTCTGCTTCAAAGCTTTTGCACCTGCTGTTCCTTCTGCCTGGAATGCTTCTTTCCATATTGTTGTGTGCCTCTTTCTTGTTGCTAAGATCAACTCAAATTTTATCTCTTTTTTGACCACCCCATTTAAAATTGCAAACCTCCCTCTCACCTTATCTTTCATACCTTATTACCTTGTTTTATTTGAAATCATCTTGTGTTATTTACTGAATCCTTCCACCAAAACATAAGCTTCATAATAGTAGAAATCTTATATTTCTTGTTTATTCCTTTGTTTTATTACCCAGAATAGTTTTTGGCAAATAGTCTGTGTGCAGTAAATATTTATTTAATAAAATTGAAAGATGAACTGATATACAGTATCAATTGTGTATGTGTTTGTGTGTGGGTGAAATTATGCTGGGAGAAGACAACTAGATGAGTTACAAATCCCATATATTTTTTGTTTGTTTTAACTGAAATAAATTGAATTTAATGGAAAGAAAACCATAAGGAATATGTTGTTCAAACTCCTAGAAGAAAAGGCTAATTTTGACTTTTGTCTGCAAAATAAGGAACTCAACTTCCTATTGACTTTCAGTCTCTTTTCCCAAAGGTATCTTTGAGATTTTCCTTATAACTTCTCTGGTTGGAGCAGGCCTTCTCATTCTCATCATCCTGATGGTGGCATATGGTTTCAGAAAACCCAAGTGAGTATATAGGCAACAGTGGGTGGCTGAAAAGGCAGAGACAGAAAGAGGTGGGGGACATCATGGGCATTTTGTAGGAGACAGCACTCTACCATGAAAAGGATATGCATTCCTGTAATAATTTGGTACATATTTTTGGAGATTATTAAAGGCCACACCCTGTATCTCAACAGAAGTCTGACCAAGCAAGAGGACTTTATCACCCCCCTCATCTCCATGTACCAGGTCTAGGCCTTTTTGAGTCCAAAGTGCTAGCTGCCCCGCAGGCTCTACCTGCTGCATTTGCATCCACACCTAGAGCTGGAGAGACTTTCTTGCCAGCTTCCATCAAGGGCTAAGAGGGACCAGCGTACACATGGTGTCAGAGTGCTGTCTGGTCGTTTATCCGCACAAACTTGACTCTTGCTGTGGTGCAGTGTTGGAGGGCTGGCTACTGGGGCATTTGCTGTGCTTGCCTTGGCCACTAGGGGAAGGGTTTGCACTTTCCATAGTGAGCCTCCTGCCAGCCTGATGGTCCTTCCCTGGTAGAATATACCTCTAAATTGGACTGTAATGGGTTTTCTCTGCCAAGCAGCTGCATGTCAATTTCAGTTACCAACTATAGGTTATAACCAAGTCACCAGTACAAATTCTTGTACATTGCATACTTAATTCATCATTCTTCATCTCTTGGATTCTTCAGAACAAGCTCCTATCCCAAGGGTTTCTGGGGAGAAGCCCAAGTAATTGCTTTTTTTTTTTTTTTTGGAGAGGTTTTTGCTATAGGACGCATGTGCTCGCCAGACAGACAGAGAGAGACAGAGAGATAGAAAGCGAGAAATCACCCCCCAGGGGGGATGGCCACGCCGCAGTCCCTTCTCCTCCATTCTCCTCTCGGGATCTTGGGCACGCACGCACACGTGCCCAGCGTGAGTTTAAGCCACCGGGTCCAGGACTTGAACCGCAGTCGACTACATGAGAGTCCAGCGACATAGCCATTACGCTAACTGCTGGTTCCCAAGTATTTGCATTTCAAACAAGAACCCAGGTGATGCTGGTGGTACTGGGTGGGACTGCTCTTTGAAACCACTGTGCTACAGTGAGGGTAGCTTATATGGCTTAGTGTTACACTTTACAGGGTATAAGTCTCAAAGGAGTCGCTCTGTAATGGTGTAATTCCCAGCATTGTGACCAGCTGTGGAGATACAGGTATAGGAAAGGGAGGGGCAGTAGAAATAGCTTTGCATGGGAGAGAGATTCTCCTCCCATCACATCCCATAGATAAGTTGTAATTCAATGTCCCTGTCCCAAAACTGTTACTTCCTCATTTTCCATCTCAGCCAGGAGCTTGCCATTATTTAATAGGGAGCCATATAATGCCTTTTGTTCTTTTGACTCAGTCATGTAGTGTGTGTACAATGCTTCTTGGACTCACTTTCTATTTTAAAATCTTATTTGTTATTAGCAAATTGACTCACCTATGTTGGCCTGATGTCCCCAACCCTGCGGAAAGTAGTATAGCCTCATGGCGTGGAGGTGATTTCAAGGTAAACATCCCTGTTTTTGTTAAGGAAATCCTTGTGCATGCTGACTATGGGAGGCAGACAAGGTGGTTAGAGATGGGGAGGAGTTCCTGGACTGAGCTTTTTTTTTGGTGCTCACATAAAGAGAACTTGAGGTTGAAAAGTCCCAGAGAATGGCTAGCAGGGCAGATGCAGTCAGCCTTCCTATGACAACCTTGATTGACCTTCTGCTTTGGACAAGAGAAAAGGACTTCACCAGGCTCATGAGGATCCCATATGTTGCTAGCATGGAACTGGTTTCTGTAAAGGATGCTTTGGAAGAAAGACATGACCCTACCCTTTCTGAATGACTGCTGAACAAACGGGAGGCAAGCCTGGGTATTGGGCTTAAGGGAATTAATAAAACAGCCAGAGCAAGGTAATCTAGGAACTGCTTAGCAATCTTAATGGGATGCTGATGGCAGACCTAGCTGTCCAATGCTTGCCTCGAATTGTTTTTCTCAAATTTGAGAAGGTAGAGTCAAACTTAACTGGCATTCGAGGTTTTCTAGTGAGTTATCCTTAAATAAAAATTCTTATTTTCTAAGATTTTAAAAGAAAGAAAAAGTGAAGTTTTTAAGGTTTAATTTCTTGCTTAAGTAAAACTAAATCCAGCCAGATGTAACCTTTAAGTCCTTATTATTCTTTTTTAAGAGATTTTTGCTATATGGTGTGTGCGCTTGCTGAAAAGACAGAGATAGTGAAAGAGCAAGAAATCATTCCTCAGAGGGAATGGCTATGCCATAATCCCTTCTTCTCCATTCTTCTCTTTTGAGCATGCATGCATGAGTTTTATGCTACTGGGTCAAGAACTCGAACTGCGGTCAACTGTGTGGGAGTCCAGCGATGTAACCATTGCACCGTTTAATGGTCCCTTAAGTCCTTATTATTGAAAGTGTTTCAGTTCTTGATGCAGGAATTTTAAATATTTGTTCTTATTTCAGTTCAGACGTCTTTCTTTTTATGTTTATTTATTTCTTCCATGAGAGAGACAGAGAGAGAGGCACCCCCAACAAGGTCTTCATGCCATGATCCACCCTAGACTCAAATGTGCTGGATCATAGGCACCTGTGCATGCACCTGGTGTGCTCAGAGAGCCTAGGACACAAATTCAGGACCTTTCCCTTGAGGGTCAGTTGCATTACCTCTGCGCCTCCACTTGGACCCTCAGGAGTCTTTTTGTAACATGGACATGTTTATTATAAAGATTGCCCCTGCCACGAGGCCACCTTTGATGTCCTGGTGATGCTGGGAAGGTGTATCTTTATGATTGTTGTTTTGCTGTCTCTAAGAGATCTCATTTTGATGTTCCAGTCTTATCTGAGGTGTTTTGTGAATGTAAGTTGTGTAGAAAATAGCATAGAGTTCTTTAGAAGAAGAAATTGTTTAATACATTTCCTTTTCTCCATTATCACTCTAGTATCATTCTATTTACTTTCCCCACTTATTAAGAGTAATTTAGAGAGCAAATGAAGTCACAGGCAGTACTGTCTGATGACTAAAACAGCTTTTGCATAATCTGTAGCTTGGGCCTTTACAGTAAGTTTTTTTGTTTGTTTGTTTGTTATTTTTTTTTTAATGCCAGAGGGCATGTATGCAAGAGAACTAGAAGGAGAAAGGGAGGGGAGGGGGGGAGAAAGCACCTACCCCCGTATGGACCTGGTCTTATGATAATCCTTTTTCCTTCAGTTCTCCATCCCATCAGTATCCTGGGCACACACACCAAAGTCAATGGGGTCCCAATTTGAATCCTGGTTGGCCATGTGGGATCTAGCCTCCTCTGCACAGTGCCATGGAGCTGCCCGTAGAACAAACACTTACCAGTAGCCCACTGTATGTCAGGCACTGGGCTAGGCCCTGTGTACAAACATAGTAAAGACAGTCCCTACCATGAGGCTACCTTTGACTTTCTGGTGATATTGGGCAAGCCTGTTTTTATGAGTATAGTTTTGCCACCTCCAAGAATTCTAATGTTGATGCTCCAGTCTTTTCTGGGAATTTGTGGATATAGGATTGTGTGGAAGATAGCTTTGAGCTCTCTAGAAGAAATCATTCAAATGTGGGGTGCTATTTCTCAGGAAATGGGTCACTGTTCCTCTGGAAGGGCATGGGAGATGATTTGCCACTGCTTTGAGTCTGAGAGGAATGTAGGAGGCTGTTGAAGAAGTGGGAATTTGGTGTTCTAAGCCTAGTGAGCTTTTGGCTACATCGTATGTAACCCCTGAATGACCACTGCGGCGGGGGTGTGTGTGTCTTTTTTTTTTTTTTTTTTTTTTCTAGAGTAAGCTAAATCTGAAGAAATTTGATGACTCTGTGAACACTGAAGATGACAGACGCTTAAAATCATGTTCTTCCCCCCATGACCTTATTGACAAGCTGATAGTGAACTTTGGGAATTTTCTGGAAGAGGTTTCCATAGAAGAATCTGGAAAGGGTCAGGAAAACATTTTGGGAGGGGAAAAGAATGAGTATGTGACCTCTCCGAACAGGGCTGACTGCCCCACAGGGAAGAGTTTTGAGGAGCCCCCAGTTTCAACTGAGATTTCTACCAAAAAATCCCAGCACTCATGTTCAGAAGTGCCAGAAGAGACCTGCTTGGAGGCCGAAGAGCAACTTCTCTCTGGCAGCAGTGTAGAGCCTGACCAAGTATGTGAGGAAGGAGAACCAACTCCGTATCTGAAAAATTCTGTGACAACCAGAAAATTTCTTGTGCCTGAAAAGCTTGCAGACCACACCAAGAGAGAAGTCTAAATGTTGCCATGATGCGAGACCCCCGGAGTTTCAGTGTGGATGGCGCTTGCTGGGAGAAGATTTAAGACTTGGCAAGAAGCTTTTCCTGCCCATTCCTCATCCTGTCTGGGTTAAAAATAGACCACCTGGTCCTCTCTCCCCTCCTCCAGTTGCTAGTTGAGCTTAGGTGGCACAAATGTGACCTCCTGCTGAGAAGAAGAGGGATGATGACAAGCCTGAGTGCTTTGCAGAGGACAAGCAACTTCTCTTTTGTTCAGATGACAAACTCTCACTGAGGCCTACTGACAGATGGACTTCAAAGGAAGGACCCAGGTTCTGGGCCCAGAGGACCCCTGGATGGACATAGCTTGGTATCTCAGGAGTTATGTCATGGTCACAGCCTTTGTACTTTGGAGGTACTCTTCAGAATTGCAGGAGACACCTTCCTTGTTGCCAGTGGAAAGTTATTTTAGCTGGTACTTGAGTGGTCCAGGGGGAGCCTGGGCTCTGAGCTCCCCCTCCAAGATAGCCCTAAAATCTTATACCCCCTCAACACAGGGGCCTGGGGAATGCCTAAGGCTTCTCATAATCCTTAGCAGATATCCAGTGTCTGCAGCATGCCCAACTAGGACTCCTCACCCTAGTTCATGGCACACTGACTGCTAATACATCAAGGCATGAGGCAGGTCCTTGTGGGTACTGGGAATGGACTCTCGGCTGGACAGCAGGTCTGTGCCTGTCTCCAGGCCATTTCCCAGCCTGCACTGCTCTTGTGTCCTGTATCAAGCCTGGGTTTAGGGAGATACCAAGTGCTATGTAGGGACTCTGGCCCCTCATACTGGCCCAGAGCCCAGGAATGCTTACTGAATACACCCTTAAAAGGTCTCTTTCCAGAAGGAGCTGAGCAGGCCTGGACCCTGCAGTTACCAGCCTTGCTGGTCTAACACAAGGGCATCTGCTCCTGTACTCCAGCTAAGTACAGGGCTTATGACAAGTAGTGGGGCCTTCACGTGCTAACCTGGGTCAGTGGGCAGACCCTGTGCACTGTGTATGGCACGAGGTTTGTGTTGGGGCCACAGGGATGAGTCAGCTCTGTCTCCATCAGACGGCTGTGAGAAGAGACTAGGAGTGGTGAGATAAAGGGCAGACTGGGCAGTGAGTGAGTGGTCATCATACAGTGAACCCCTCACCTGCCTGCCAAGATGGTGGATGACGGTTTTTCTAGGAGAGTTTGAGAAAGTCAGTGTTGTGTTGCAGGCATGAACTTACGTGCAAAAACATCACTGTGCTTTCCTGTAACTAAAATGAATTGCTGTCTTCAAACCCTGACATTTTGAAGTGACCCTTGCCCAGTGTGGTGGTGTCTGAGCTGCTTTGGCCTTGTCACAGTCACATTTGGGATCTGGCCTCCCCTGTCCTGCCAGGACTGATTCTGAGCACCAAGGGATATTCAAAGGAGCAGTGTCTGTCGGCAGAGTCAGCGCCTCAGTGTGGTCCTCTGGCATCATGTATTTGTCCAGCCATGGTTTTGTTACTGGTCTCCTCTGTCCCTGTGGTCCCACTTGTCCCTGTGGGTCATCTGCCACTCTCCACAGCTAACTGTCATGTCCCACTGTGGGTACAGGAAGGTGTAGCTGCTGTCCCAAAGCTCCCTTCTCATTACGTCTGAATGGGAGTCCTTGTTATATCTCACGTGACTGCAGCCTCCCTCCCCCAGCCCCCTCACCCTTAGGATAAATCGGGCATGAGAGCAGCCCCAGGACAGGGGACTAGGGAGCGGAGCTCCAGGTCAGTCCTGTCCCTTTGTCCTGTATAACCTGGGTAGTAGAAGGCACCAAACCCAAGGGATACCCCAGGTTCCTACAGCTGCCCGTGGTACCTTCCCCCAGGCCCACTGCTGTGGTGGGCATGTCTGGAAGCCGCCTGTTCAGAGTCCCAGACAAGGTCCTTGTCCTCCATTAACTTTGTGAGCCGATGAGAGACTCTAACCCAGCCTCCCATCTTGGCTCCAGGAAGTGGGAAGGCACAAGTGCTCTCACAGCCCTTCTCCCTTCCCTTGACCCTCCACGGGGGGAATCTTCTGGAATCCTATGGAAGGTGGATGGGAGAGGGAGTATCTAAAATGAGGCTTCTCAAGCTTGTCTGTCACACACATGGATGAGGCTTCTGCATCTAAAGTCCAACAGAAATGTGATGGCTGGGGATAGAGGAGGATCCCAGTGACCTGGGTGAGTGGATTTCAGAGGCGAAGATGTTCTTCTGTCCTGCCCCCTCACTGAAGCCACCACTCCACCCTTTCTTGGTTTCCTTGCCTCTTCCCTTTTCTCACTCTCTTTCTTACCCTGTCTTCTGCTTCTCTCATTTCCCCATCACTCCCAGAGCTGCTTCTCTTTATTTTTAAGAGTTTTTTTGCCACAGGGTGTGTACGTTCCCCAGGGAGAGAGAAAGTATCGAGAGAGAGAGACAGTTTTTCCCACAAAGCCTGAAAAGCGGGAAAGTGAGCAGCCACAATCTCTTCTCCTCCGTTCTTCCCCCGGGATCCTGGACACACACGTACACACACCCGGTATGATTTTCAAGTCAGCAGGTGCGGGACTTGAACTTCAGTAGGCCATGAGAGAGTTCAGCAGGGTAATCACTATGCTGCCTGCCTTCTTTTTAACTCTTCCTCTTTTTCCTTGTTTCTTTTCATTTCTTCCCCTTTCCTGTCAGCCTTCTTTGATCATTTTCATTTCCTTTGCTATTGCTGAGGGGCAGAAGACCACAGCTCTGTTGTTCTGGATGGCCCTGACCAGGTGGTCTTTTCTGAAGTAAGAGGTGCTGTTTACACACATAGCTCTCTCAGAGTAGGGTCACAGGACATGGAACTCAAAGCTCTGAAGCCACTGGTGACTTCCTTTCCTGGATCTGGTCACCAGCTGTCCCATCCCAGTGCCTGAGCCACCTCTGTGGCTGGAGAAGGCCTTCAGTGTGTCCTCTGTTTACTGTCAAAGAGACACTGTGAGGGCATGAACGGGAAAACCTGTGTTTTAGCAGAGTAATTAAAAACTGGTAAGATTCCTGTGAAAGGATTTTCTGGGGCTGTGGGAACTCCACATATGGCTAGGTTAGTGCCCTATGAACAGCTTGAAAATAAATTTCCAAAGAATTGCACAGAAGCCGATCTGTGTTTTTTTTTTTTTTTTTTTTTAAAAGGCAGTAGCTTCATCCTGGTGTCTTAGGAGGCCATAGTGTAGCAACACTAAGCAGGGGTTTCTGAGAGGCAAGAGGTGGAGCAAGGTGAGAAAGGAGTGGCCCTTAGGAATCCTGCCAACCCACTGTCCCTGCTCTCTGACTGGTCTGTCCAGTCCACCCTGAGTCTTTCCCTGTACCCCTTCCAACACACCGCACATTACTGCTGCTGCTGTGGGCACCCTGCAGCCCCAGAACTCCAAACTGAGGTCTATGGGCCGTATCCAGGCCCTGTTTTTGTAGGGCCATGAGCTAAGAACAATATTAACATTTTTAAATTATTGAAAACAAAAAGGAAGAATAATATTCCGTGAGATCTGAAAGTATATGATATTCACATTTCAGTATCTGTGAATCTTAATTGGAACACAGCCATGCCCATTGGTTACATACCTTCTGTTTTGCTGCCACTAAGGCAGATTTGCGTATTGAGATAGAGATAGTTTTTCCCACAAAGCCTAAAATGTTCATCTGCTGGCCCTTTGCAGAGAAAGTTTGCAGATCCCCCTGCAGCCTATGGACATGAAGCTCAGCCTTCACTGTCTTCTAACTTTGAGTTAACCACTAATAATAAAAGGACTCAAAACATGTCGTTCTGGATTGCCTAGTGGACAGGGACTGCTCCCTTTAGAAGGGCACACACTCTGGCTCCACTAACCCTCATGGGTTCCCTGCCCAGAGTCAAAATGGAGCTGGTTGTTACCACTTACAGTAGTGGTTCTCAAACAAGGTGATCTGGCCCCCAGCTCAGCCCCCCAGACATTTGCCACTGCCTGGAGATAGTTTTGATCACTGTGGCTGGGAGAGTGCTCTTAGTTAGCATCTAGTGGGCAGAGGCCCACAGTGCTCGTGGTAATCCTGCAATGCACAGAGTAGCCCTCACGACAAGGAATTATCAGGCTTAAAATAGCCACAGTGGGGCCAGCACGTGGTGTGGTTAAGGTGCTGGGTCCCACATGGCTGATTGGGCAGTTCAAATCCCGGACCTGGTGGCTTGAAAACACACTGAGTGTATGTGTGTGTGTGCCTAAAATCCCAAGGAGAGAATGCAGGAGAAGGGACTGCGGCATGGCCCTCCTCCTGGGAGATGATTTCTCACTTTCCCTCTATCTCTGATGAGCGCACATTCCCTGTAGTCTCAAGCTCAGCAGTTGAGGATTCTAGCCCTAACTGACCTCTGTCCTCCATACCCACAGCATCCACATTGTAGATAACTCTGATATCCCATTTTAAAATTTGAAATGTGGTTAGGATGTAACTTTACAATAACAACAGCAGTTCCAAGAGCTCTAGATAGCATTACTTACATCATTCTTCATTCACTCCTGACAGGATCTGTGTGTACCCATAGACATTGTTACTTACAAGTCACATATTGAATCTGTCGTGTTCTCCCTAAACTTTCACTTATTCATATACCAGGTTCACGCGTGAACATAGCAGCAGGACTTTGCGTGGCCCCAGAGCACCACGGTGTGCCTATGTCCTGTGGTTTGCTAGGGTGTCCCTTAGTGGTAAGATTGTTTGAAATGTCCTGGAATAGAGAGAACTGTAATAAACAGCTTTCTAATACATGTTCTTTTTTCATCCTCGTTCTGTCTCTGTGGGGCTGTTTTGGAAAGTGGATCTGGTGGGTCCGCGTTTGGTGGTTATTACCGCGTGCTTGTGCCCCACCCCTCACCAAAGGCTCTGCACATTTGCTGTATCCCCACAGATGTCCCGGAACCCTTTGTCATTTTCACACGTGCTCAGCTGTTTACTGCTATAAGCTCGATTTTGTCAGTTTATTGGCAATCATTAATAAACCTTCATAGTTATTTGTGTTGCTTTGAAACTAAACCTTTCCCATCTGTATCTGTCTGTTCGTGCATCCCTGTGTTGACATTCCACAATCTTCTGTCTGTACGTCCTTGGGGGCATTGGAAAACCAGTTGAGCAGCTGAAAATGAGAGATACGACAGCAGGACTTCAGCATTACTGGTGAACTTGGTCATATTTGGCTGATTATTCAAAATGGGGTTTGTAGGGTATCAAAAAAATAAAAGCCCATGGTTATTTTATGTCAGTATTAATCATCGACTAGGCCTGCTTGTAATCAGTGTGTGGTGTCTTCAGTGTTTTGTACTCTTACTGTGGGTGTAGAAGAGTGGATTGTGACAGGATGTTCACAGTCTTCATTTTTGCTGTGCTGGACACTAGGGTCAGTGTAGATAGAGAGGGTTTGCTCAAAAGCACAAACAGCACCAGAGAAGTGGGAGGAGCTGGAGGCCATGTTTGCCTCTTGCACTGAGCCCTGGGCAGACCTGTCCTGTCCAAGATGCCTGTGCTGGTGAGTAGGGTATGGGAGGGGCGAGAGGAAGACTCTGCAAAAGGGCAAACCCTGTTATCCGCAAGGACTCCCGTGGTGGTCAGGGGAACCTAAACGTGTGTATTATCAGTTTCATTTTTAGGAATGGCATTCCCCTGTCCTGGCCACCTTCAATATAAATGAGATCTTCAAAAAAGTCCATGGAAAATGTGTATTATGAAGAAACTATGCATGGATTAATTTTTTTTGCATCAAAATAAACTATTATAATTCCATCTTCTAAGATCTTTTCGAAGACCCCTCGCGCGCGTCCTTATGTGTGTGTGTGTGTGTGTGTGTGTGTGTGTGTGTATAAAATGCCAAAAAGGTGTCCCAAAGCCAGGACTTTGAAATAGAAATCAAAATGTGCAAACCAGAAAGGACGTGCAGGACATTCTGAATGACTATAGCAACAAGGAAGACTGAACCTGTGTGCCCAAGAGAGCCATTTCTTCGTAGGTGGGGCTCGTTGTCTTTACCATGTATCACTCATCCGTTGTTGCAGGGTGTTATACGTGTGCACGAGAGGTCTGTAGTATTAAGTAGTATAAACATGGTCATTGTAATGGGACTAGTCTTTACAATGCTTCATTGTAAATGCATTTGTATTTTGACCTTTCAGACAATAAAGCCATACCATTTTTGTGGAATGCTATACTTCTGTTTAAAGTTCTGCTTATGCAGGTATTTAAACTGAGACCCCAAGGCAACCCCACAGCATGGTGGTTAAGTGCTGTACATACAGGGCCAGATCCCACATGGCCAACTGTGGTTAAAGTCCTGGCCCAGTGGCTTGAAAAACACGCTGGGTAGACCTGCAGGTACACAAAATCCTGACAGGATGGAGAAATGGAAGAAAAAGGACTGTAGTGTGACCATGCCTCATTGGGAGGAAAAAGATCAGGAGAATCTGATGACTGTGGGGAAGAGCTCTAGGTTTGGGACCAACAGTTGGCGTAATGGCTATATGTCTATGGACTCCCATGTAGCCAACCATGGTTCGAGTCCTGGACCTGGTGGCTTAAACTCATGCCGGGCGCATGTGTGTACGTGCCCAAGATCCCAAGAGGAGAATGGAGGAGAAGGGATTGTGGCATGTCCATTCCCCCTGGGGGGTGATTTCTCGCTTTCTGTCTCTCTGTCTCTCTCTGTCTTTCTGGCAAGCGCACGCGCCCTATAGCAAAAACCTCTCCAGAAAAAGTTAAAAAAAAAAAAGTGTCTTTGCTGGCAGGTCACACACCTTTTGTTATGTGGACTTGCTCCTGACTGCTGCCTCCTGACTAGGATCCAGTGGGGCCTCACACCCAGCTTCTCTGTCTTCCTATTCTACAACTCATGCAGCTCTCTGTGCCCCTCCCAGATCCTTGAGTACCCTCTGGGTCTCACTGCTCTCGGCAGATATTGTCCCCACCTCACTGAGGTGGTGCCACCAGCCAGTCTCTCTTGACCTGTTCAGACCAGACTCCTGGGAAGGTCATAGAATGGCAGATGGCTCTGCTCTTCCCTCTAAGTCCCATCCCTCCCTTGGCCTCTCTTGCAGTTTTGGCTTCTCCCTCTCTGGAATCAATTCCTTCTTACAGGAAAGAAAGGACAGTCCTAGATCTTCACCTCCCCCTCTACTGCCTGCTGTTTCTGCGCAGGCCGGGCTGTGGGTAAGAGTCGAGTGGCCCACATCCTGTGCAGTGGCTTCTCCAGGCAGCTGGATGTACTACCTGTTTGGTAGTGAGAGAATAGCTGTGCTAGAACTTTCTAGAGGTATAGAAAATAAGCAGTTGAATGCAGACAGTTTGGGGACAAGGACGGCAGAACAAGTTGCTAAGTACCCGGATGTAAATAGCCACCCAAGTTTCTAGGAGAAGCCCTGGAGCAGGATTGACTTGACTGTCAAGTTTACAGGCAGTCCGCTCAGGCTGTGTTCTGCTCATTATGAAGACTGCAAAGAGCTGGCAGTCACCAATATGAATTTTGCACCAGATGCTGAGCTAAAGGCCTCAGGGCTTTATCCATGAATCCTCACAGCACTGCCAGCAGGTGAGTAGCATCAACCAATTACATGTGAGGAAACTGAGCTCAGAGCGGTCACATGACTTGACCAAACCTGCACCCCGGGAAGTGGTGAGTGGGAGCCCAAGCCTCTGACTTCCTCTCTGCTTTTCTGCCTCTGGTTAATAATAAAGCTGTCACTGGGGTTAGAGAGAGAAAAGAGTGGAGACTCCAAGGTGTGGAGGGCTTTTGAGGATCTTCTTGGTAAAGCATGTAGAACCACTCTTTCCCCTAGGTGTCTGCTAGGACCCTCGAGATTGGTTTTAGAACCAGTGGTCTCAGAGAAATGGCGTGAGTGGAAGCAGAGATGGGAGGGGGCACTGTGCATGTAATCACAGCACAGGAAGCG